TCCGATCTCGTATACATCATGGGTCATTCCTTTGTAGTAAAGGAAATTCTGTCATGTGAGATATGCTTCGTGGACAACACCAGTATCGTTTGATTAGATTTATTGTTGATTTTGAAACTGTCTTAAAAAACGTTAGAATTAATCTGAACTAATTAAAATACAATAAAACCTTGTGTGCGATGTTTTTTTTAAAATCTCATCTTAATATAACACAATACGATAGTTTGTTCCTTGTTCTTTGTAAGTGTGTAAACTGGGATTTCATACTGATTATTTCTGATTTTTCCGGATGTCTGTGAATTCAATCTGTTCTGTAGCTTCTGTTTCGTGACCCAATAGAGAAGGAACATCATCCTGCTTGTATGCAGTATATTATAAATTTGATGTATGAGTTCTAATAATACTTTGAGGACAACCTTCTAAACAGATGAGCTTATATCAGATTCATCTAGAGCACACATCTATGGAAAAATATACTCATACGGCAGGATTCTCAAGCTCACTCTTGATTTTGTATAATGATTGACAATCATGTAACAAAAAGTGTAGTTTAGAATTTGCTGATTTTTTATTTGTGAAAATAATTAAGTGTGACATTACAATTACGTACATTTTCGAATACATAAGGCTGTCTGCAGATTTGTTTGTCTAGTCATATTAACTATTTAGCATGTATAAACTTACTCTCTAATTCATATTAGGATTGACTGTTACGTAAATCTGCCCATCGCACAATATAATCTACACGACGCATAGTATCAACAATATACCGCGTTCAAATTTGTTCCCATTCATCTCTTAGTTCTTTTTTATGACTAGTGAACTTGAAATACAATATCCCCTATTATTTAGAGCTGCGAATTACGTGTTGTTGCGCAACCGACACAGATGGGTTCGAAGTATTGGAATCATTGATTTCTGTTTGTCCACAGCGGGGTTGCCGTATCTGGTGCTGATACACGGAACTTGGTTATTTGTATCTGTTCGTATTAGAGTTCTGTTGACTGGTGATCATATATGGTTCATGTTTGTGTCAGAAAGCGGTAAAAAGCATATCAACAAGATGATATGGACTATGCGGAGAATTATTTAAAGTCGCTTCAATGGGCTTCATTGAAGACTGTATTCTGGGAACAGTTACTACCCTCTTACGAAACACAGCTTTTTGTGATTACAGTTTCGCAACCACGTTCGGTTAAATTTAAGCTTGTGAGTTGTCCATCGTGACTGCCTTCGCATTACTTTTTAACTGTGTCACACGTTATTATTGAATTGTTGGTCAACATTTCTTATTGTCTTTATTACTTTTACCTTCACACTTACCCAATACAGACGTGAATTGGAACTAAAATACACACAATCTCCCTCGTGAGTCAATTAAGATGTTTATATAAATAAGTGAGAGTTGAGAAACACACAAAAGGAAGTTTTTATAAGGCTAGTTTCAGAGTCAGATCAGTCGAAACCTAAGTTGAAGCAAAAGAAGTATGGAAGAACTCATTCTAGTTTGACTAATTACTTTTTATGAGAGGCTGAATTTAGAGCGAGAAATGAACCTGTATCGTCAGCATCTGTGGATATAAGCCATTGTTTATACTCACCAAATGGAGATGAAACGTAAGATGGGAAGCGTGTATTATGCTTGGGAGTTTAACTTAATTTCAGATACATATAATCTTCAACAGTTTCATTTGTCGCAACTTAGAGTGCGGAAACATAGTGTTTCCTTACTCACTCCAAAAAAATAAGGACACTCAGGAGAGTTTCTAACGGCAAACCACGAAATCACTTCGTAGACTCAAATTCAAATCTCATGAAGAGTGCCTTCAACCATTAAACCTTTACTCAATAGAGTACAGGCGTCTTGGAGGTGAGCTTCTAAGGGCTTACAGCATCTTCAACACTTCTGGACATCCACCTAAACAGCTAATTAAGTTTGGCTCCAACACAAACCTAGTGGATAACGCCCAGAAACTGGAGACACAACATCGCAGAACGGACTGTAGATACATTTTCTACTCATGAAGAGTATTCAAACTCTGGAATTCGCTGCCGGATGAGCTAGTGTCAGCGACTTCCCTGTAGTCCTTTAGGAGGAAACTTAACCTATTCTTAACTACAAAGATAGTATTTTACTATTTTTTCTTTTATCGTTAATATACCTAGGTTTCTGCCTGGAGGTATTGGTGATTCATTACTACTAGACACAGAATCCCGTTAATCGAAAGCTTCTTCTATTCTGTCCACAAGCATTTGATATATATATTTCTCAACCTCTGTATTCTGTTTCACCCCTGATTTTCAATAACTTATTTTTTTCTCTCAGCTCCGATAACCGTTGATTTTATTTTCGTCTTTTAGGTTCTGTTGTATTTAGTTTGTTGTTTTGATTCATTTTCTCATGCTTTATTTAAGTGAACATGTGCAGCTTGAAACTTCGTTGTGTTCACTAATTTTTCCGTAACTTACATGGCAATTTCAAATTCTACTTGATTTGTCTCTACTGCTTCGTATGAGCGTTTATCTGTCTTGGTTGTAATCCCTAAATTTAGAAAAGGAGGCTGAAATTGTGAAGATTGTCACTCTATTACTCTAATAGGGCTTGTATTTATATTACTTCATTTGTGGAACTTGGTATATATTTCGTGACTTCTGAGTAGTCCATGTTTATATTTGCATTAGGAGAATTTCACTATGTAACATCTTGAATACCAGAATAATTGGAAGTACTTTATATGCTGTTCAGCCTTTTCACGAGACGATTCGGAGATGAAATGTAAAGGCAGATTGTGAATGAATAGGTTATTTAGATAATAAGATGGAGTTATTGCGTACAAAGTGTTCTGGTCTAATAAAAACTTGGTAACATTGGACTAACTCAGAAATACTGCGGCGGCATATAAAACTTCAAAATCAATAGCTCTGTGAGTTTTCAACATTTGATACTAACCGCATTAGTTTTGGTGGACTCAGCTTGCTGAAAGCGCTCAGTTACGCATTCGCACCAGATCAAGAGTGGATTCGCCCTACTTAGCATCCGTTTTCAAATACTAGCCAGCTTGGACCAAACGTACCTTCGACTTACTTGTAGCCTTCCAAATATATCTTAAAACTCCTTCATTCCTGACTTTTGATTTAACTGAGTTGGCATACTTCGATGATAAAGGTGTTACTACTTAAAGCGTGGTCAAACTCCGAATACTTGTGACATTTTGATTACTTACTCGTACTTCTTTAGAGTGATCTCAAGATTACGAAGTCATCTAACTTACATTAGAGATGTCGAAGTAGGTGAATCTATGAATAATGCTAAAATTTAAGTGGTGTTATAAAGCAACCTGGATGTCTTCATTGAAGAAGTAAATAGATGGCCATCTGAAACGAGTACTAAAGAATCTAGCACAGTAGAAGTTAATCATCACACTGTCCACTTGACCCTATGAATGATAAATGGAACAATGCCATTGAAATTTTTTTATCGAGGATGTACTAAAAATCGAGGCTGATTGCAAACTGAAATTTACAAAATTTTTTTAACTCTTATGGTCCCTATATGAAATCCTCAGAAACACATTTTGATTTTGGAGATGAAACCCAGATCATGCGAGTGATATGAGATTTGAGCATTCGGTCCCTGTACAAATGTATATATAAGGCCGAAAACGGTCAATTGAGCTATTTTAGTGGTAAATAACTTCCGGAAATTGGGAGCTGTAAAGGTATGACTCGATTATTGATGTTGGCGACTTTGTTACCTTCTGCCATCTGAAGGCGCTTGGTTATCCATCATGACCATGTCTTAGCACAGCTGATGTTATACTCATCTCGACCTATATATAGTCAGCTTAAAATCTTCAAGTTTCTCTGTATCAACCAACGTTTAATTAATCTATGGCTTTCAACGAATACTATCTTCGGAGTATCCCTGTCGGGGTATCTGCTAGTCATGTTATTCGATACCATAGCAACCAGAGTGCCTACACTCCTCATTATCCATCTATATGTTAGTAGATAAATTTATGTAAGCATCCAGCTCTATGAAAGGTAAACGTGATAGTAAAGATGACCAAATTTCAATTAGTCGGATGCTTCCGCGATTTATATGTTATAACCAAGAGACACCCACTAATTTTGAAGCCAACGTAAAAGATCACTGTTATCAGAAATAATGACATAGTAGCTCATAGACATAGGTAGATAAGTCTGAAAGTCTTGGAGTGGTTTCTAGAGAGATGTAGACAACAAAATATATGATGGTGTGGATGAATTATTGGCACAACTGACATTGTCAGCAGCTAGTTAAGTGCATTAAAATAGAAAAATCCACTAACAAACATGTATTACAGATAATCATTGCTACTGAGTGTCCTCCGGATTGCGTATAAATGCGTTTCTTACGTCTTTATCACAAAAATCATCAAGAAATCACTCGGTGAGAGAATAACTTACGGAGAACCTTTGGGCGACACATAGGTGACCTTTAGAGTATTCACGTACTATTTAGGACATTATGAAGGTTCTAAACCAGTGTGAGGAATTCGAATTAGGATTTACAGTGGATGGTTAGGGTTGTGAACTAGATTTACAGTTCCCACCACGAAACGACATCATATAAAATACCAAAACACTACCTAGCCAGATGCGCTAGTGAATGCCACGCTAATATACAAAACCTGTTATATCTGATTGGTTAAGCCTAAAATTATAATCTGGCCGTCGTAATACACACATAAACAGTTTAATCTAGCATTTAGCTGTAAAAACGTACCGAATCCATGCATTTTGATCCTTGAGGATAAAGTGGTAAGAATTTCCACTTCAAAGCATTGCTTTTGATCCTTTTTGTATTTCGCATAACTTATGGACGGCCTTCAGTGTTGTCATGGCACTTACAAAGTCTTATAAACATTTGTTTGTCAACAATCGTCTTTGTCATGGTAAGTAAGTAAATGGTGTTTAGATAAGTAATAAAGAGCTTAACCTTTTGGTATTATAGTAACTAATATTTGAAATCACGTGACACCACTTCAAGTGTTTGAGCTACCGCGCAATGGTTGATCGTAAGTTTTGCTGTATTCAGTGAGTCTCTTCAGTCAGATGTCCTGACTACATGAATTACTTATATCGAGTACACAATTTCCAGGGAGAAACTAATACACATAAGAAAGAGGTACGTGCGAAATTGCTATAATGTTATATTCTCGCCAAGCCCTTCCCAATCTCCCGATTTCGGGAAAATTTATCTGTTTTGGGGATACTGCTATAAATAATTTTTGGGAAAATATTGCAAAAACCTCAAAATTCCTTAAGAATAGGGGGACTTAGCATTTAATTCATTAATTCCCGCGAACCCAATCTTTATTTTTGTAGTTTCTCCAATAGTTCAATAGTCTCCCCCAAAGTTTTGGTGAATTTTCGCAGATCTGGTGAAATTTTCGGGTTTTCTTGCTGTTTTCTCAAATTTTTTTTAGTGGCTTGCCCATAATGGGTGAAATTTTTCTTGAAATTAGGTGATTAGGTACGTAAACCTTCCTACATAGACTTGGATTTTGCTCTTATGTTCTTAAGTTAGAATCTAAGTGTATAAAGCTTTGTAATACTCATCATATCTCAGAGCACAAAGTTTTTTGTTAAATTAAGTGTGTGAAACCATATGTTCATAGTAAATATACTCATTGAGGACAAATCCTGTAAATGGTGTTTATGGACTATCAGCATGTTAATCGTACCTATTTAAGATTTTTCCAAGTGTTACTGTTTTTAAGACTTCAGCTTTTCGAAAAATTGAAATGGTGCTGAAATAGCTTCAAAATGGAGCTCTCTCGGCGTGATCTGTTTGTATCATTTTACGTTCGGCTCCCTACAACATTGCACTTGTGATGTTGGTTCGTTTATATTGAGTCGTTGGTTGGAAACAATACATAACACGTCGGGTTCGACAAAGCGTCTCGAAGTGTGTAACATATTGGCAACCTATTTGCGGGGTGTGGCCTCCTTAGTAAACTACTTCCGGTTTGGGCGATCGGGCAGTATCCCAGCCCTCACACAAACCGGATGTTTTGTGTGGTGCATATATATTTGGTGCCTCCTTGTACCAATATTTGTGCATTTAAACAAATAGAATAAAACGATTACGTAACAGCCAACGTTTTTTATAGCATTCGTGTTTTGTAGGACTTATTAATACGTTTTCTTTTTGTTAAATGCAGAAAATAGATCCTAACTCAATCTCAGGTGAAATGGCAGAATTGTCTGATTATACTATAGAGGCACTTGAGTTGTTTAAACGGAAATTAACTACATACATAGAAGCTGTGGATAAAAGTTGTAAGTTGAGATATAGCATACTAAATGCTTTTACAGTGGTTAGTGCAGCTGAAGAGTCTCTAAATTTTGACTTCCATGAGAAGTTACCGTCAGGCACTTACTGAAAATCAATGTAGACAAGACGTCCAGATGTTTATGTATTAGCCTGATTTCCGTGAACTGTTTCACAAGATAGTATTGTGCAGTTTGTATTATTAAAGACGTAGAATAAATTCTAAATTAAAAATAAAAGTTTTCCAGTTTAAATGTCTTTTCAGTAACATTATAGCCTGTGTATTTTTTAATCCTGTGTGAAGTAAAAGTCTGATATTTCAAACTCTTGGTATGCTTATTTATATTTTGCGAAGTTGCGGTTTTCTGAACACGAAAGTCGTCTTGATATGTTGGGTGTGTTTGATTTTCGTAATCATCCAAACGAGCCACCCCGTATCTCGAGGTCTTGGGATGTTAAGTGGGTCAGTCATAATGAAAATAAAGCCTAGTCCAAGTATGTGTTGGTCCAAGTTTCTATGCACTGTCACCACAGCGAGACGAATTCAGTGAAATAACTAATGGGGTGGCAAATTAAAGGCAGTTACTGTGGTTTTATCAGTAGTTGAACTGTGATGAAGGTGAGGAGCATTCATAGGAAATTGATTGGTCTTATTTTACATATTTAGAGGATTGATTGAATAACGACTAAACTGCCATCGAATGTATGTTTTGTTTTCAGTAGTTTACCGAGGCGAAAGCTTGGAATGAACTTTTACTATTCATCTTCCACTTCACTGTTCCTGGATCTAGTTTTGAACAAATGTGTATTGTTCAACGCTTACAACACATTTCAACAGAGTTATATTTTGATACCCTTACTGGTGTTCACTTATGGATCAGATTTTCATGTATGTAATTATTATTATTTGAACATACAGATACTGGTTCAAGGAGGCACCAAATACATATGCGCCACAAACCTGATTTGATTTGTGTGTGGGCTGTAATTCTACTCGGGTGCCCAAACCGAAGCAGGTGGTTTGCTTAGGGGGCGACATCCGGAGTCTTCAACTTAAAGATCTGATCCACAAGGCAGTTGAGCATCGTAAGGAGATGCAGTCCCATGGTAGCCGGTGACCAACGATAGGTTTGTACGCCATTTGTTCCCTCAGGATACTGGAGCGCATGTACACCATTGGTTTGAAATTAGGGTTTTCCAACTCGCCTAGGTGGACTCTCCGTTTCTACCAACCCGGGTAAAGCACCGGACATTCGCTTTTCGTCCTCCCGATTCCGTAAACAACACCTGTGATGCGAGAAGGCAGTAATTAGGACTTCCCTGGCAGATGCTATATACGCGTAGCCATGTGAGAGTCTTTCGAGAGGGAGAGCGGACTCTCCCTACTCTCGGCCGTACCAGGGCATTTGAGCATCTGTAATTATAGTTATAATCCTAATATCTGATCCATATAGATGCATCATAATTGGGATGTGAAAAGTTTAGTCCAGTCCATTAATGGAGTTCTAAAAGTTCTGGTATCTTTAATGATATCTAAAGTCTCAAAATGTCCAAAAAAGTTCAGATTTGATGGTTTTAAAAAACTTGGGCATTGGTTAAATGGTGTTCACCAATACTAGAAATTTATATCTCCCATTAAGCAAAAAATAAATTTCGTTTTTCTACTCTTTCAGAAATAAAAGTTTTTAATAATAAGGAGTATACAAAATCCTCTACCTCTTTTGCACGTGCTTGTTTGACTGTCAACAGAGTCCTAATCATACTTACTTGGACATGTTGTTTCGTGTATACTAGCTTCCTCATAAGTTAGGATTTTAACCGAAAGGCTAGGGTGTTGTACCTCTCAATTCTTACCTGTTCCAATATTAAGACTTCTGCACTATCTCAACATTTATGACGATTTATGTCTTTTAACCATGAGAATATTTATGTATAATTTTTGTCCTCTTTAAAAGGGACTCCAAAAGAGGCTAACAAAAATGTTTTTTCTTGTTTGTTAAGGTGACAAAACTTATCCCTACAGGTATTTTCGAGGTTTACCTTCAGGGAACACAAATAACAACAGAGGCTAATCGTAATATACCCCTGAATATCAGTAATGAGGAAAAGTAGACTATTATAGGTGATATAATATCATCTCGTTGTGCAAATGTGGTGTAGCAACTTGAACTAACACATCTGTACCAGGCTCTATGTTCATGATGACTGACGAATGATGCACATCACACCTGTTGAACAAGTTAGTGCCTATCTGGGCTCAATATAAGGTTTTAGTATTTGAGGCCGTAGGTGCTGGTACAGAGTTTCAGTGTGCACATTTATACTAGGATGCAAGTACACAAACTTGACAAGTCCTAGATAAAGCGAAAGGCGCATTGTAAATCTCAACGCTAGCCATAATCCAAAAAGGACGTTTCTATTGAGGTGTCGGAGAACAGATATAGGAAGTGAATTAGGGGATTGATCGCACTGAATAATTGACATTTATATCCACAAAACCGAAAACTATGTGGGAACGAACTAATCGGCTATTGGTGTGCATGTTTATTTCCAGTTAAATCAAAAATATAGTGTTTCTGCTATTGATAAGATATTTAGGTGTTCTGCAATTAGTTTATAGGTATCAACTTTGAACTGTAGGATTGAAGATGATAAATGTTTAGAATTCGCGAAGTAGCTATTAAGTAAGGCAAAGCTGTTCCATTTTTCATGGTAGATATAGAAGTGTCTTTGAGAGAACTAGCTACAAGCGTAAAATAGACTCACGAGTTTGATAATATCGTTGGATTCGTATGAAAGCAAATACTTAAGCCAGAAACGTTATAATAACATACGTTCTATAGTATTATTTACTAATATGTATTTCTAGTTGTATATATCACGGAAAATCATGTTTTAGCCATTAAGCCACTATCATCTCTACAGTTGGATGCTGTTTTTGTTTGGTCATTTTCAAGGAAAATAAACATTTTGGCTACTGACCATGGTAATATTCCGTAGTACTAACATAATCAGAACTGTATCATCTAAACTTGGGTAAGATTTTGTTAATTATTTCAGATAATGAAGAAAATAGACAGTACTTAATGTCAGGTGCCCAAAGTTGCTTAGGATTCATCCTTGTTATTGCTGTAGAATAGAGCGTTTGTACATCCTAACATTTAAATCCTTATCAATCAGCCATAAACTCAGTTTTGAAGTTTGTTGCATAATTGTCAGTACTCAACTAAAGATAACAATGATCATTGTGTACCATACTGGCATACTACAGTCTCTAATTTTTTCTCAACGTTACCGATTGGGTTTTTCGATCGCTTCAAAATATCAAGGACAGTATCGGTTATGAAAACTAACTTTTGGTTGTGACTTGAGAATATCACCACTATAATTTGAAATGGTAAAACCGAATCTTAGAATCGGCGTATGTATCTAGCAACTAGATATGATCTAGAAGACTTCGTTTTGTTCAACTGGTGCTTTTTCATGACTTACAACTTACTAGGGATGAGCGCATAAGTTAAATCTAACCAGTCTATTGATATTTATCATATCACTTACAACTCTTAAGGGATCTCAACGTATATTTCATTTTATACGTTTTTTCGTAGTTGGTTGAGATTTATGATTTTCCTTTTTAGATTTTTGCATTTGTACCAGTAATAAATATTATGGTCACAGATGAAAGCTGAATGTGGTGAGTTACGTTTTTAAGTATCACTAAAATCTTGTTATTGATTGTCTTCCTTACCTTTTATAGTTCTTTTTTTCACCATGCTTCTTTAGTGAGTTGGGACTACTCCCTAAGTAATCATATTAATGACTATTACAACGATTATTCTCCATTGAAAAAACATCCATGAGATAACAGTTTTATTAGACTTTCAGTCGATATGGCGACGAACGACGGATGTGTTTACGATCTGCGATTTTCATACATTACGGAATGGATCCCATCATTTTCCAACCAAGGGACGTGTATACTACACAGCTGTCCATTCTGTTTTAATCTACGGCTACGAAACAGACTTTGAGAGCAGAATACGTCTATTTTCCGCACGTTTTTTAAAAGTGTCTTCGATGTATTGCTCGCGTCTTGTGAAATAACCGAGTGGTCATTGTTGGGATTAAACGCAAGGGTAGTAAGAGTATAAACAGTAATCGGAAACATTAGGGTTTGAAGATGTTATTTAAGAAGTATAATACAGTGAAATAAATTTGGAAAGAGAAAAAATGGACATGAAGAATTCAAAAGATTAGAATTTGGGAGAACATAAAGAGTGGATGCACCTGCGCCATTACAAATGATTTTGGGCCATGTCTTTCAGGGTATCTAACTACCGGTTGCTATCATCTCGCGGATCCCAGCCAGGTAGTCTACACCTAACAACATGTCTCAGACCACTTGTCAGTGAATTCATGGATTTGTGCCATGTTTTGGTCTGGCCGCCCCTAGCTTTCTTCCAACCTACTCCTACACCATAAAACATCGCACGTCGGGGCAGTCGGAAGTTGGGCATACGTAACATGTGTCCCAGCCATCTCAACTGAGGAAGTTCCACTACTTCATCAATTGATTTTCCATCTTTACTTAGTACCCGTTTCCTAACAACTGAGTTACTTACTCGGTGGTCCCAGGATATACGAGCAATGTTTCGAAGACACCTATGGTCGAATACGAGTGACCTACGAATATCCTCTACTCTTGCTGACCATGTTTCACTGCCATAAAATAGGACAGAACGAACTGCTGTACAGTAGACCCGTCATTTGGTTGGTAGACGGATATCTCGCCTACGCCATAAATGACGCAAGTTGGAGAAGCTAGTTGAGCCTTCTTTATCCGTGCTGAGATTTCGTCACACATCAGACCTCAAGGGCTGATGAGATTCCCAAGATAAGTGAAGCGGTCGGCACGCTCAATTACTTCACTCCCTATCACTAGTTCGGGTGTCGATGCCACCCAATCCTGAAGCAACATATTGCATTTCGAGGGGGAGAATCGCATGCCGAGCATGCTTGCATTGTTGCTTGGAGTGGTCAGAAGACTGCATTTTGTCAGCGTCTTCACCAAATAGTACTGTCATTGGCATATTGTAAGTCAGCAAGCGAATCTCCTGGTAGAAGTTGAACCCCTGGAGACTTAGATAAGGAAAGTGTTACCTCTGAATGTGTGTGTATGTTCTAGGACCTGACGTAGTGTGAATATCTGGTCTATACAACCACGTCCAGGTTGAAAACCAGCCTGGTTTTCTCTAGCCTGCTCTTCACGAGCTTTGGTTGGGCGTCGAAGTATTATTGAACCTAATATTCTTCTAGGTCTTGAGTTTCAGTGTTCCTTCATATATACCCTTTTAAACCATATTCTCTATGAGTTTATAGGTATCAGTGCCAAGGTTGGACTTTATAGCTTCAAATAAATTAACCATTGGTTATAAAGTTAATATTAAGTAAATTTTTGTTATATATATATTCTGAAGAAGTGGCTTACATTAAGTCACGAAACGTCAGAAATACGATTTTTCTACTCATTTGGATAGAACAAAAATATATTTATTATATTCTCAATGTTTAATCTTCATCATCATTTCCACTACATTATTCCGATCTTTTTTACAATTCATCTTGTTATTTTCATCTCGTCATATTAATGTGGCATGAAAACTTTGGCCAACTCTGATCTTTGCCAGGCTGTACGTTGATGATGACCAAATGACTGATTTCCCATCTACTGTGAATAATATTTTAGAGATTTTGTGACGTGTAGTTATCGAATATATGCATAAATTTAAAACAACTAGTTCCTTTGATAAATTTCGTCTTCTCATTGCATTATCGAAATATATTCATAAACTAAAGTCTGTTGTTTCAGCTATTATAAGATTTTTACACTTCAGGATGGTGAGATCATTCAATATAACTGGTCATTTTATAGTAGTTTATCTACATTTTGTGTTAAAATTAATTTTACATATATATTCGTCCTTTTACTTACATTACCTTTTTAATAATTTTCTTACATATGAAGAATTACTACTTCAATGTAGATGGCGTAATTGTTGTCAATCTTTCCCCAACTATATTCGATTACATGTACATTTCCTTGAATGCCACTTAAATAATGTACCCGAGCTTGTCTGTCTATGGGATTCTTGCCAGAAAAATAATATATTCCAGGAAAACAATCAGTTATTGCGTCATACACTTCTGCACATATTTTTTGAAGATTGCATAGTAAATACTAGTAAGCTTCTTAAAGCTCATCATAAGGCCTGGAATTTTGTATGTTGTGGAATAAGTTGTCAGAAACCTGCATATCTTCAGCGATCAACGGAAACATTCTTGTGGAATACCATAATTTTGAATAGAGGTTTCGAATGTCAATGGAAAGACTGTGATTACACGTAATTTTTTCGATTTTTTTCTTATTTCAATTATTTTTGTTTATTACTTAAATTAACTCATCAACCTAATAATATGTACAACAATCAGAGATGATCACATGATAATAATGTAATTTATCTGTTTCAATGTTATGTACTTGATATCAGTAGAAAGAAAGGGAACTTTAAAATGTCCGAAATTTTTGTCTCATTAACTAGTTATTGTTTCATACTTTCGGATTTTGTTGAGTATGGAGGAAAAATTGTATTTTAAGGGTAAAACAATAAAGAATAGACATTCTTCTGAGTGAAATTTTAGTTTCAGTCGTTTTTTTCAGTATCCCTTATTCTTATTTTAGTACTCTAGTCAATTTTAAATGTTAGCTGCAATCTCATCAACGTAGAACTTGGGACATATGTGTGTTGGTCCAAGTTGCCATAGTACATAAATACAGAGAGATGAAATTACTGAAACAAATTCCAGAATAGAAGTGGTAACAACATCATTGGTAGTAGAACAGGTTGCGTATAGAAAATATAATTCGAGAAAAATGAATGGATTCACCAATTAAAACGTATTTTAAGACGAAAAGTGAAAATATCTGCTCCATCTGAATCGATTCAAAGCGTTGTCATCCAACATCCCCAACCATTGGTTACAATAATTGCACAAATCCCAACTAGGTAGTTTGCTTTTACCTATATGGTTCGATTCAACAGTTGGCAATTTCATGAAGTGATACAGATATAAAGAAAATATTTACTCATAATTACACTTCATTTGTTATACACCATTTGCTGGTAATGTTATTATTAGCATCTAATTCGCCTTAGGAAATGTCAGTTAACAGTTCGGATAATTACTCAACTTTTGTTTTATCTACACTTGAAGTGTTGCAACTCAAGTATATGAATAACTTCTAACAAACCATCTGGTACTTTAAAAGTGTAGATTTCGCTTATCTGCTCAGCATTTTATGAAGCGACTTTCTGAGATCTAGCTTGTAATTATCCTCTCATTTATCTAAGGCGTATTTACTTGCTAGAAGAGGTGGTGAACACTCAAATTCGGTACTCTGCTTATGAAATAATACTTCTAAAGTTTCCAGGGTTTTACCGTGTTGAGGATTCTAAATATCGGAAATAATCTGTACAACTCATTTTTTTACTAACCTATTTCGCATGATTTGGATTTAGCGTTTTTCTCGCCTAAATTTCCCATATTATTAGTTTTTCTTTTTCTCTGTTTAAAAGTGCTCTTTTACCCTATTGATTTGCTTACGTTTTAGTACGTTTTTTCATTACTGTATCACGAAAGGCATTGTGGCGAGACTATAATTTATGGACGAACCAATGAAATGAAAGATAGCAGGTCTTGGACTTTGGCGCGAAATTCATTCGTCCATGTGGTTAAGTAGCATCTTGGCATTATAGCTGATGTCAGCTCGTGATGAGAATCCCTACTTTAATTGTTAACATTAAATTCTAACTTTAAATCTTAATCCTAATTTATAGCCCTCTTTTGACCCTATTAAATGGGTGAGTTATCCCATGGTCACTTTAGCGTCGCTCAAAGGTCATCCATAAATTATAATTTCACAACATTGTAAATATGTTTATACACGACAGATATACTCTGGATAATCTCTTCGTTAGTAGAGTAAATCTGAAAAAAAGTTTGACTTACATCTCTAACTAGTAGGCAGGGAAGTAGAAGCTCAGAAATTAGTCTCGTTTATTGTAATTAAAGTCGTAGTTGCAAGTTTGTAGCTTAGTACACAAATGTATCACTGTAATGTTATTATTAGTCCATTATATTTTATTACTACGATTATTTAACGTCTTATGGAACAGAGTTAATCATATTGAGACCTCATGTTAACTGATTTATTCGATTTCTTTCAGCTCGATATTTCCATGTGCATATGAAACCTAATGTTCGTTAACCTGTCAATTCAATGGTGACCAACAGACTTTGACCTAGGGCACCTAAATCCTATAGATAGATTTTTCAGTGAAAACATTAGATTTTATCTCATGTTATGTGATTAAAAACAATCAACATTAAAATTTGGATTTTAGGTTTCAATGTTTGTCTGTAGTTGACTGAATACTGCAGTGAGTAAGTCAGTCAGTCAGAGGATGGATCACTTAGCGTAACGTCGTCTCTGCGGTACAAACTAATATATTTACAAATACTTAAGAAAGCATAAAGTTTCCTATTAGTGATTGCTTGAAAGCATAAAACTGTAACCTTGACTCTTCGAATGATTAATTTCAGTTAATTAGCAGGACATTATTATCTACCTTCATTCCCCTATTGGTTGTTCTTTATTATTTAGTACGAACTCAGCATATCTATTCATCGAGCATGTTAAGGAGCATGATTTTCCGTGTGGTAATAATAACAATAATGATGATTGTGACAATGAAGATGATAATAGTAATACTAAACTAACTTGTTTATGGCAATCATTGAGTGTGGATTCATTGACCATCTCAGATCAGTCTATATGTGGTTCTATAAGCGGATGTCGTTCACATTTTCATCGTCATGTACGTCGTCATACTGGATTACCACGTTACATCTGTTCTAAATGTTATGTGTGTTTTACAGAATTTATCAATTTTAAGGAGCATTTTACATGGAGTTTAGTCAAAGATTGTCAGAATGTGGTCAAATTTAATGGAAGAGGTATTTTCTTTTTACCACTAAACATTTCTTTTATTATGTTGAACTTTAATGTCTAAGTATTAATTAGTGATTCGTCTCCACAATATTATCTTTCATCAAACCAGCCAGTGTACTTGGGTATTTGTGAGAACGAAATTTGATTAAATATATACATAAGTCTTAGATAATTGTTGAACGAAATATTCGTTTTCAATTAGTCTCTCATCAAGGTTCCACTCTAATATGTAGGTTTTACAATTACATATGGAATCATTATCAAATAAATAGTGAGAAGTTTATTAAACAATATGCTAATCGGTTAGAAACAAAATGATTGCAAAATTTTAATTAAAACTAAGGTGAAATTTCACAATCACTTAATTATTACAACTAGTTATATAAGTAATTGAAATTGGATGTAAATAGAAATGTTTTATGTTATCTGTCAGATTAGTAGTGAGCTTAATTAGTAAAAGAAAATGCACTGAAAATTAGGCAATGGGATTGATAAACACACTGCGTAAGATTAAAATTTACTTACATCAAAATGCCTCAAAAATTTAAAATAATTTTATGAAAGGTAATAGCAACTAAGTAGAAGAAAGCCAGAGTAAATTAAGAGACTACAAACTTTTTTTTGTATACAGAGATTGATATTTATTCCTATGGCTTTTGCCGCGTATCGCTATCCGGATTCTAAAAGCATAATCGGTTGGCCAAACTACAAGAGAACAACATTAAGAAGCTCTGTTTCAACACATCTAGTTGGTACCACATCAATGTAAATTTAGCTTTTAAAGCACTCCATAGGATTTCATCGAACCTCTGTTCTCTAGTATACCGATTGAGATGAATAGCATAAATAATTCGATTTCATAACAGAAACTCAGAGACATAGTAAGGATTTATTCATGGGAATCAAATCAGTGGTATTTATATTTTTTTTTCCTGTTCCAGATGACGACAGTACCGATTGCCCAATATTATTGAAGTTAATCGACGAATCTTCACCTTTCCCAAAACATCTTGAAGGTACAACTCTATTTCAATGCCCAACATGTATAAAAGTTTTTATTACTAAAGAAGGTTGGACTTCTCATATACGTGAATGCTCAAAATCATTAAACAAAGAGACGACTGTTAACACTAAGAAATTGGATTGTATTCCACTTTCCCGTAAACATGTTTCTAAACCATATTTTAAAATAGCTTCTTCGATTAATAAATTATCAGAAGAAAACTATGAATTTTATTGTCAAATTCAAGGTTGTTCCTATCAATCTACAAAATTATCCGCTTATCGTGCTCATTATAGACGTTATCATCTAAGTAGTAACCCTGATGGTTTATGGTATTCTTGTCATCTTTGTCCATCGTATCAAGCACGTAAACCATTTACAATTACACATCATTTAAAATCTGTGCATTCATTGAAACCGCCTGATGGACGTTCACGTTTCACATACTCTTTTGACGAGTGTAGTCAAACTTATCAGTTAGCTGGGAAACCACCAGCTCCATGTACTGTTCGAGCAATACGAAAATTGGCACCGAAAATCGTTGTGAAACAGTAAGAAAGAGACATGAATCTAGAACAGTTAACTTTACTATTATGATTATCGTCTTTTCTACTTTTATTTTGTACAAAATGGTAATTAAATAAAACAAGATGCTTTAACAATACAATTTTTTTCATCATATGAGGCTTGTGGCAATTGTTGATCATAAACTGATCTTAGACAACCATTGAAAACCATGAAGCACCGGATAGCGTTCTTATGGTTCCATCGGGGATCGAACCCAGGACTTTCAGGTATCATGACCAGTCCTTAATCTTTAAACCACTTGGACAAGAATCAATGATATTTATGCCTAACTTCAGTTAATAAAAATATCCATATTAGATAAAGGCAGCTATTCAGTGCTTACTGGTTTTCATTAACTGTTCAACTGAGAGCAATCTATGACTTGAATTTTCATTTTCTAATTGCCTATTTACTGATAAGAATTGTTGGTACATCAATAGGTTTCGTCTTCCTGTTTCTTTGATAGTTGTTATGCTAATACATGGTATGGTTCCCGTTAAAAGGAAGTAACTAACACTGCTACAGATACGCATATCCATATCTCTGTCTTTCTAATGAATGCATAGTAAAAACGTATTTGGTTACTGAAGAACTGAAGACAATTCAGTGGAGAAAATTCTCTTTTCGATGACATCCTGTAAAAATGCATTTATAATCGTTTAACAAACATATTAGTTTATAGGATGATAAAAAGAGTTTACGACATAAAGCATCTAAGGATTTCAAGTATCACGAAAGGGGTGCTTAATGATCTTGAATTTAAAGAAACATAGCATGGTTAAAATAATCTACGGATCAGAAATTCTAGATATAACTATTCATTCGATAGACATAATGACGAACTAAAGAAAGCGTGGAGTTGATAACAAAATCTAACTAGTTATAATTACCTGCGCCGGCAATTGATAGCAGACATAAAAGTATGAATAACAACTGGAAAGGATTGCCCAGGACAGAGTTTGGTAGAAAATGCTTGTGGGCGGCCTATGCTCCTCCACGAGGGGTAACAGGCGTAATTTATAAATATATCATTCAAAACACTAAAAATCGTTCGAATACATAAGAGGTGAACTTCATTCATAGGATATCTTTCTTGATAAAAAACGTAATATTGGTTGATCATGATCATCAGCAGTTTGATTCCTGCATATATCTGCACATCTCTGTTACACATTCTGCATTGTTTTTTGAATGTTACTGATCTATTACTATAGATATTCTAATCCTTCCATTGCTTTAAAGATCATTTTTACCCATTAATTTCACATAATTTCAGGCTCTCTATAGTAATAATAATATAGGTACCACTGGTCCTCTAGCACCGGACCTCGATGAAATCATTGGCGATTCAGATGAGGAAAATCACTCTGATGAAGAGTTGCTTACATCTGCTGAATTATTAAAACGTTTTTATAAGGTTTGTTTTATGCGTTTTAACTTGGTGTTCTGCCTAAGTAAGTGTTGACATACCTTTTGATTTTGCATAGTTTTAGTTTACATGATCTAATTTAGTAATCTGATAAGTAGTAAACAGCAGTGTCACTTTACGCATTATTTTAGCAAACAATGTTGTAGAAAGTGCTCCAGACATCTGTGACGTACTTATAGCACCATACCATCTTTTTCACTTGACTCCAACTTTAAGAATGATTCATTACGTTTTAAGCAAATTTATGATCATCAATCTTCAGTGTAAATATTCAAGTCTTCAAAAGAATATGACTCACGAAAAATATGCGTGCTATTAGATTATTATGTCCCAGCAAACTTCTTCCCGATAGTCTTCAACTCTATTTGACTTGAAAACCATGCTGTCCTGGATGTAATATGTTTTATTGTCTTTAGACTATTGGCATATCTCTCGAGCACTTTGTATTTGGTTTTTGTTTTCCGTCATTTGGATGATTGAATTGCAAAGCTGCAATTACTTTCGTTAAGATTATTCAGTCTCAGCTCGAATTAAAGTTGACTTCTAAAAAGTCTCAGATAGTTCTGTTCTGATAATTCTGTTTACTATTGATTGTCTGTCTAAAGTAGGCACTAATAAGTGGAGTGGTGGCTTATTGGTTAGGGCACTCGAATTTCAGACACTAAGTTCCTGATTCGAAATAGGCTCTACCTACCTCGGTTTACTTAACCAAGCAGTATCATTAGCCCTCATACCTATTGTGATTCATACCCAAGTATATGGTTAATAAATTAGACGCTAATAATGTTGTCCAGAACAATAACCAAAGCTGTGTAGCTAAATCATCCAGCTCAGGGAACACAACATCACTAAAAGCAACTACTGGTACTCGCCACACTTTGTTATCTCAAAAAAGGAGTTTTTTTTTCTTCTTGGAAATCATCCAATGTTTTAACTTTTGCATTTTATTCTTTAACGCATCACAACAGATATGGCAAAATGAAAAACTTGCTCCTGTACTATTAACTGCACATTCTGACCTGTTAGGTCTTATTCAAGCTGAAGTGAATCAATTGGAAGCTGAAGCTAAAGTCTTACCAGCTGGTGATTTGAAAGCTCAAATTAAACGAATTCAAGTAAGCAGCGAATGGATAATTTCTGAAGAAATAGTAAAGTCATTAGTGATAAGTTAATTACGTCATTTAGGCTAACAGAGTAAATTACGTTACAATAACAGTACGTGGGAATAAGGTATTTTCATATATATATATAGGAAAAAAAGAATATGGTGAATACAAATAAAAATTGTTAACCAGAGTAAAGTTTAAAATAATAAGATAGACGTATCGACTTACTTCAATCGATTTTCAGTCATATTGCGTAGTCTTGGACCACAGATTTCGACTATCTGTTAAACCCTATCCAAAAAGCTTAGAATTTTCTTAAGTGGTATCAGTATTATGATAATATAACTTCGTGGACGTTCTCATATTATTTCTAATTTAGTCATCATGACAGTGAAATTAATGGTAGTGGGATCTGGGATGTAGCATACTATTCAGTTCCTATAAATTACCAAAATCATGCACTACTTCACTTTTTATTTAACCTAAACACTATTCATTTGATTCCTTTGTTCTCGTGCAGTATTAGTAGACAATCTTGTATTACCCTCCCACTTTTCATTTTTTCTCTTGGTAACAGGTTGAAAGAATCCGATTTATCATGGTTGATTACATGCGTATTCGAATGAAAAAGGTAACGTGGAAAGTGATTCCGTGTTTGATTATTTTGGAAAGTTATTTGTTGTAATGATTCGTCTTTATAAAATGATGTCATATTGATAAAGTTTGTCATGTGTTTCCATGATTATCTCTGGTCATGTATATACACTGTAGCCAGAAAAAATCTAAAGTTTTATCCCCTCATTTCATAGTTCAAATTCTAATGTTTTCATGTTAGTAGTCTGTCGTGAACGAAAATTCTGTATTCCTAACAATATTCTCTTATTATTGTGTTCGTTGTTATAAATGCGTTTGAATTGTCTTGCTAGTGAAACAATGTCATATATTGAACACGTATAATTTATATGGTAACGTCCAATTCTTGGAATTCTAATGTGTTATTACTTAAGTTTTACACTTTATTGGTCTAATCAGTCAGTCATAAGCAACGTAGAATCTGATGTATGTATTCATCAGGTCAATTTGCCACATTATGTCAGCATATCAAGATAAAATTATCAAGTCAAATACCGTAGTAGAAGTATTATTATCCGTAAAAGTTAATTAAGGGACGAGTATACTGCGTAACAGTTCGTTCCTGTCCTACTTTACGGCTGCGAAACATGGCCTTTAAGAGTAGAAGATACTCGTAAGTTACTAGTATTTGACCACAGATGCCTTAGAAATATTGCTGGTATCTGCTGGGATCACCAAGTAAGTAATAGTGAGGTTAGACGCAGAGCATTAGGAAATGATCGTAAATTGGTTGATGAGGTTATGAATCTTCATCGACTGAGATGGTTGGGCCACGTGTTACGTATGCCTGAACACCGATCACCACGACGTGCAATGCTAACGGGTGTTAGGGATAATTGGAAGAAAGTTAGGGGCGGCCAAACCAAAACTTGGCATCAGTGCTTGAAGTCACTAACTTCTAGTCTTAGCCATGTTGGTAGATGCATACTAATTGGTTGGGGTCCGCGTGACTATCGTAACCAATGGTTGGAGACTCTTGGTGACATGGCTCAGAATCGATCACAATGGCGTCGGTGTATACACTCTCTGTCTTCCTTTAAACTAAGAAATTAAAATCACTTCAAATCTTTCTTTCTACGAACTGATTCTTTCTCCCTGTTTTATATCCTTATATGCAATCTTTCTTCTATGTATTACCACCACTGAATTAACTACTTCTCTGAATCCAGTGTTCATCTTGTTGTGTTAATGCGGTATGGCAACTTGGACCGATGCATATATGTGCCTGGTCATACGTTGCAGCTGACTGACTGAGAAGTTAATTCTCTGAATATAATGCATAAGATAATTTTAAAGCTCAAAATCTGCGAGAAGAAAAAAGAGTGAATATGTCTGGGCTATTGCAACCAATTCTGTCTCAAAACATTGATTACGATAATCTCATGAACCTCAACCTTAAAGTCTGCACGTACTGCACACTAATTAATCAAATATGCCACATGAATTACATAGGTTTTATCAACAAAACAACAAGTAAATATAAAATGTCGTGTAGGTCACAATCTAAATCACTTTATATATCTGTTCATTTCTTCAAACATCTGTTTAATCTTTTTAATTATAAAATCAACTGACACAATACAATATTATCTTTTTGAAATGGAAATCAATTGAGCTTTCTATATATCAGTTAAACCATATTATTTCCATCTTCAATTCTTTCCAAACATGTTTTTGTGATTTATTTTCCATTTTCTTAGAGTTGATAAATATGTAGACATTTCTTGATGGATAAATATCTTCGAAGAGACTCAGTTATCAAATGAAGATTTGTGAAATTAATTTTAAATGATAGTTTTTGACTTATGGAATCTTGAAAAATAAAAAAACATCTCAGACTAGTACACCACCTAGTGACTGAAAGTCAGTCACTCAATACAATAAATTATATCCTGATTATCATAAATTATGTACAAAGTAGTAAGACGTAAAAGGGAATTTTTTAAAGTATGAACAGTATTTGCTATATGATATGTCATTAACTTATAACATAATGTAAATTTTCAATAATCATATTATAATCGCATTATATTATATGCAACCATTGAACAAGAAAACCTTTCAGCATGCTTTTGAAATTGTTACTCAGTGCTTATTTCTGTTTATTCTTGTATTACTTTTATTTAATAGATTGAACGATTTGCTGAGCATATTTTAGCTGAAGAACGTTCACGTAATTCAAATGAATTACCACATTTGACAGTGGAAGAATATCTTTTTGCAAAATCGTAAATTTTCAGTGATTTTCTGTTGTTTTTTTTGTTGTTGTCAGAATGAAAGAATCAGTTAACTAATTATCATTATTTTAGATATTCAAATAGTATTCGAGAATATTTGAAAACTACAATTATTAATCGTTTACCAGCTAATATGCAGTCTATCAAAGAGGAAGAGTTAAGTAAGTTGATAGTGCTTTTTTACAAATCACGATGCCGTTGAGACTTGGTACTATATTTTACAATTGATACTCCGAAATTTTGTAAATTAATAATCAGAGTCATTGTCTTAAATACTGGTAGTATTTCAATAATATATATGGCCTAACCACACTTACTGGGAGAGCTTAACATTTCTGTAGGCTCTTTACCTTCATCTCATTTCAAAGCTGAGTAGTGAATATTTTTGTAGGCGATATTTGTAGCATCGGTTTTTCCTTATACGCTATATTTATTGTTGCCTATGTATTGACAAGATATCGGCTCTAATAAGTGTAAAGCTTATATTTTACTGGTTCCGGAACTCTGAACTTGAAACTATTGCCTTTTTGCATTCAAGTTCTCCAATCTTTGTCGTAGTGATGTTAGCAAAATAGTATTCCTAACCATTATATTATATGGTTGGTATAAACACTCTTTATGACAATCACAACTAGTTACCTAAATGAAAAAAAATCAAAACGAAAGCTTCAACCGAAAATATGTACACAACTCATAAAAATCTGTATTTCCTTCAGAAAATCAAACTGCATTTTCAAACAATCTCTTATGGCTCTTTCCTCAGAATGTCAATCCAGATCTTGGACAAAAGTGTACACACATCAGCATCTTTCACTTATCGTCTGGTTGATATCTGATTGGCCTAGTGTTTTATTTGCCGCTTCATATCTTGTGCAAATTACTGCTCCTAGTATTTCACACTAGTAATATTTAACAGAGGTACTTAAATGTGTCTATTTGTCAATGTACAGCAGTTGTATAACTCTTCTGCTTAGATTTATTTAAATTCCTTAATGTGTCATTGTTTGATATATATGCTTGTTGTTATAATTTAATTGTCAACTAAAATGTATTCACTCTATTTTTTTAAAGCTTTTCATCCAAACCCAAACAGTTATGTCTTTTGTCAGTCTCTGAAAAAAATTGATTATATAGAAGTATTCGATCATAGTTCGGATGGAACTCAAACGTAAGTTGTACTCCAAATTATCCAGTTTATAAAAATAACCAGAAGTTAAAATTTGACCGATGTCAGCTTACTTTTATGGTACTGAATCGGACATTAATTTCAAATTATGTTTGTTAAGTTACTGTTTTCATCTTGGTTACAGTGCGGTATCACTTACCTTGGAACCTGGCGCTCAACATCTCCTACCCTACAGTTGCATTCGGCCGTATGTAGAAGGTGGCGATGTTATTTTGATCTAAAATTAAACTGGATTGAGTTCTGACAATTAGATTCTATTTTTCTAGAAACCCTTTTTGTTTGACGTGTTTGTGTTGAGATTTTTTTGTACTAAAATCTACTATAATTTATGCACTGAATTTTCTCATGTTCTCTTAGAACGGGAGATATTAAGGATAATTTAGTCATTGATAACATATATGCGAATACAGCTGATGAAGACTAAAATTGTTCCCTAATGTTTTTCACATAATCTGTGAAAATGATCCATCGCTATGGTAACTGGTAGTAGGGGAACTGTATAGAACGATTGTGTTACTAGACAGGTCGCATCAATGTCTATTAGTAAATATGACATACCGTGAAGTAGTTGATAATTCTCCCTAAAGTAATAGGAAAAGAACTATACTATTCTGAGCCTACTATTGGTTATCAGTAACGCTTTTATAGTATAAAAAATCAGGTATTCTGATTTCAGTATAGTGTTGAATAGCATAACAATACACAAGCTCAATGCACGTGGGAGAGGTCACTCCTAAAAGCCATGTTACGGCCGAGTGCAATATCGCGGTTTTCCTCCGAGTGCTTTCATATGGCTACGCGTTTAAGGCAGTTCTAGAAAAGTTCTACCAATTTTACGGCGGTGTTAGCTATGGCGATGAGATGATGACAGACGGATGACTAGCATTTGTAGTGGGTTTCTGAATACGGTTAACCAACCTATGTAGTTAAGAAACACTGATTCCAGACCGGTGGTGTGCATAGGTATAGTGACTGATGAGTCCAGTAGCTTGTGAAGCTGTCTTGATATAGCGCCTACGATGAGCAAGCGTATTCTGCACGACTACATTGCCCTAAGGAATAGACCTCTAGGTTGTGGAGTTTGTACTTAATTCGTCTGTTGCCCTTCGTGGATGAGCATAAGTCGCCCAACAGCACTCTCCATCAAACTCTGCACTGAACAATCCGTTCCAACTTCTTTCAGATGCTACTCATCATTTTGATGTCTGCTTCCGATTCTCGATGCAATGTATTCTTTGTCCTTCCTATTTTCCGTCTCCCTTCACGATTCCAAGTCATATCCACCTCAAACCCCTTTTCCAAATTTCCTCCTTAGATGGAGGCTGGTTTGTTCTGTCCCACAGTAAGTTGTTTCTGATGGCATCCAGCCAACGGACGTTGAGTATCTTGAGTACATAGTTCTTTATAAATACCTTTAAATTTTGATGATGGTTGTAGTAGTTCTCGAAGTCTCAGCTCCTTACAGTAGGTGTAACGGAAAAAGAACGATGAAAATCCCTCCATAGCCTTTTTTTGTTGGACAGTATTTTCATTTATTTGTTTCTTCTCCCTGTTATATATTTTAACCTTTGTTCAGATCTCGTTTCAGCTTTTATTATGTGGTTTTGATTAAAGACATCTTTTCGTTACCTAATTTTTATTGCATGTTGCCGGACTATTGACAGTGAGGTCGTGTTTGACTAAGCTCAAGGTCACGGCGTGATTCAGTGTGACTGTTAACCTTTTGACTGTCTGCTTGGGAGGATTTCTGGAATCCCTGCAGATAGATATTTAATCCCGTTTGTTGGGAATATATTTGTTGATTCTCAGGTACCAAATCCTTTGGTATTGACTGCTTCTTTTGTTGTTTAGCGCACTACTTTGCGTTAGAGAAACTTCTGACTGTATAGCACAGGCTGTACCGTTTGAGGTATTTTGTATTGTTGATATAATTAGTTCTATTTCTTAAATTCGAACCGCATAAATTGAGCACAGAATTTGTGTTTTGATATAATTTAATACGAGTTTCTCAAAAACGCTTGGCGTGCTATACGGAAGATCGTAGTCTGACCTATTCGAATACTTTTTGGTTCGTCAGTCTTGCGTTCAAACCGAATACTGGTAGTTCGGTCGTTAAAGTTCTCAAACGAACAGTAATTACTGGTATGAAACATTTCAGTGCCTTGCAAGCGCAACAAGATCAGCGGGAACATGGTGTTGAGTCATGAAGAAAGGCAGACAGGTGGCTCCTGATATACCCCAAGTCACTTTTGATGCATTTTCATGTCATGGCTCTAATACTAGTTTAGTTAGTAGGCATAGCAAAATTAGCTCTAGCATCATACTTGCAGAGTTAAAAGAAAAACAGTTGAGGGAAAGACAACTAATAGAGATTAGAGAGTTGAAAGTTGGGCCGAGAAAGCCGCTTTTATGCCTTTAGAGAGAGTTAGGGTCGTTAAGACTAAGGGAAAACGTGTGTAGTCAGGCATCTTCTGCCTCCAACTGTGATGACAGAGGACAAGAGTGTGTTCACAGTTTCCCAAGCCGTTCTCGTGACCTTAGAATTAAGTACCCAGGAAGGTCAAAACGGTTAGATCGTTCAGGAACGAAGAAAAGGGAAGTGACCTTTGCATCTCCAAGTGTGCGTCTTGAGCTCCCGAAGGTAGAACTAAGTACTTTTGATGGTCAACCAGCCAAATACTGGAAATTTGTCAGACAATTTGAGTTATATGTGGTGTCGAAGACGATGGTCAACGACTGTTGTACTTATTACAATATTGTAGAGGAAAAGCTTGAGAGGCCATAGAAGAGTGCTTAATGCCTCCGCAATCATCGGGCTGTCATAGAGCACGCGATATACTGAAACGGTTGTTTGGAAGAGCACATGAAGTAAGCCGGGCTTTGCTAAATGACTTGACTGGAGGTTCCAATATAGAACACAACGACGGAGAATGTCTATCTAGGTTAGCGGTAAAGATGGAAAATTGTTCTATAGCCTTAGAACAAATGGATCATTCAGCGGATCTCAACTCGGTAGTAACTATAGAAAGTATAGTAACGAAATCGCCCACGGCTTTACAGATGAAATGGGCTGAAACCGTCGGAATGATGACAGCAAATGGTAGAGAGCTTACATTTGCAGAGTTAACAGAATTTGTATCATCTAGAGCAGAGGTTTTACTCAGCAGATTCGGGCAGATTGCAACAGCTAGTAAACGGGTTGTAAGTAGGGTGGCCTGCTCCACACAAGGATTGTCGTTCGGTAAAATTGTTAGCAAGTCACCTTGTGTTATATGCGAAGAAAATCATAGGATTGATAAATGTTCCCAGTTCTCCACATTAGCAGTCAACGATAAGTGGTCGAAAGCGAGAGAAAAGGGTTTGTGTTTTTGTTGTCTTAGAAGGGGCCACAGATCAGTGGCTTGTAATGATCGTGTCGCGTGTACTATCGAGGGTTACAAGGATCGGCATCACCCATTGTTGCATAAACCCTTTCAAGTTCAGGTTGGCTTGAGTGAGCCGTTAAAAAAATGTCATTGTGGGTACACAGTATCACTAAAAGAGGATATGTTTCTTGGTCTAATCCCTGTACGCATTAGAGCTAAGTATAAGGAAGTTTGCGGTTATGCCTTTCTAGACAACGGCTCAGATACAACCCTAATAAAGTCAAGCGCGGTACGACTCTTAGGTTTATCGTTAGAGAGTGCATCAATTACCATCAAAACAGTAAACGGAAATAAATTGATCAGATCGAAAACCAAAGAATTTGAAGCCTAATCATTAAGCGGAAACGAATGTGTATGTATTGAACTGGCTGTTATAGTAGATGACTTGCCTGTGAATAGATCAAGAGTACCTGTGAAGGACAGTGCTAAGAAATGGTCCCATCTTATGGACTTACCTTGGACAGAATCAGTGGGTGAAGAAGTTATGTTGCTTATCGGATGTGATGGGCCTGAAGCGCATTCGGTCCTGAATCAAAGGTTGCTAGGATGGGTTCTGTTTGGACCGGCAAGCTATAACAAAAACAGTAAAAGGATGGTAAACTATATTTCTCAAACCGACGACTCTGTAGAACAGCTGAAGAAAATATATAACTATGAATTTGCTGACGTCCACTCCTCCGATAAAGCATTATCTTTAAACGACTTGAAAGCAGTTAGCACAGTAGAGGGCGACACTTATTTTGACAAAGGTCATTGGGTTGTCACTTTACCTTGGAAATTGGAAAGGAACGTAGTATCGGTAGTTATGCTCTAGCTAGACAAAGATTAGAAAGTCTAAGACGCTGACTCACATACAATAAGGACTTTAGGGAAAGCTACACCCATGCCATACAGCAGAAGATTGACAAGGGGTATGAGGTTGTGGTTCCAGGTATGCAACTCGATCCGGGTTATCATCCAAAATGGTATTTGCCTCATCATGCTGTGATTAACCCCAAGAAACCAAGCAAAGTGAGAGTGGTACTGGATTGTGCTGCTAAGGTGGCTGGTAAATGTTTGAATGACCTTCTCTGCCAATTTCCAGATACTACAGCATATTTAGTTGGTATTCTGTTGAGGGGAACCGGTTGCCTTTTCTGCGGATGTGGCAGAAATGTTCATGCAAGTAAAGGTCCTGAAGCTCGATTGCGGAGCGCTACGTTTCCGTTGGTGGCCGAAGGGTGATATCGAGAAGGGACCGGTAGAGTATCTGATGACATCGCACCCCTTTGAGGCAATGTCCTCACCCTTCTGTGCAAACTTCGCATTGATGAAGACGGCTCAAAAATTCTCTAGTTACTATGATAGTAGTGTAGGGGAATCGGTACTGAATAACTTTAATGTGGATGATTGCCTAGTATCCTTCCCCAATAGTGAAGATACGAAAAGGTTTGTGTTAGAACTGAATGAATTGGTGGCTCGGGAATGTTTCAAGTTGAAAAAATGTGTAACTAACTTCGAAATGGTAAGGAAAGTTTTCCCTCAATCCGATAGTATGGAAGCGATAGTTGATATGCCTCTGAATCAAGGGCCTACACTTTGATTCCTCAAGATTGAGTGGTACACCACACTCGATGTTTTCAAGTTTCGTTTTGATCCAGAGGAAAAACCGCCGACTAGGAGAGGAATACTATCCACCGTTTCATCTCTCTTCGATCCACTGGGCCTAATAGCTCCAATATACCTTCCTGCTAATCAACTTCTACAGAATCTTTGTAAGTCGCATATTGGTTGGGACCAACCTCCGAGTGATAATG